CACACACACACACACACACACACACACACACACACACACACCATGCAGATCTCAGACTATGATGCTGAACATAACCATGAATGGGTAATTGGTATGATAAAGATAAAAGCCCAAAGAGTTAATCTTACATAACAAAAAAGATAACCATATCCTAACTCTACCAGAGACATCATAAAGTGATCCAGAAGAAATAGAATTCTAAGATATTAAGAGCAACAACAGAAATTTTAATTATTAATAAGTTCCCCCAAAGGAATCACCTTTGTATTCACGATAGCTTTTAAAAGTTCAACCATAGTATAGTTTTTAAAACAAAATTTATCTTCCTTTTCCACTGATTAGATAAGTAATGAATTTTCATTGTAAGAAAAACAAAAAGAGGAAAATTTAGAAGGAAAGTAAATGTCAAGCGTAACCTTTTACACCAGGTTCGAATAAATGACATCCTAATACCCATCCAGAGCCCTGTTCTAAATAACCTATGTTTACTTAGGCATGTGGGCAAACCAGGTTATGTGGACAGGACAGCAACGTTTCTTCAGGCCCAAGCCCAGGGCCCAGCAGGACTGCCTTCTGCCCACAAACAGAAGTGTGCTTTCAGAAGACATGCAAATTCAATGGAGAAGCCAGGGAAGGCTGGCGCAGCACTGTAATCAGGAGACAGGTGCTAAACCTGCCTGTTCTCTGCCTAGTGAATTCCGTACTCCTCCTCCAACTCGAATGTCACCTCTGCTGGAAGTCTAGCACTGGAGTAGCAGTAGAAACACCCTCTACAGGGCTTGCAAAAGTCTTCTCCAACTTCTACTATAGTGCGAATCACGCAACAGTCTCATTTTCAAAATCTGCTTTTGTTTCGGAGTCTTCTTTGCTTCCTAGCCAGTTAACTCCACCAGGGCTGGGGCTGAGTCTCATTTGTTTCTAAGAAACCCTGATACCTGGCTCACAGCAAAAACAAATAATGGCTGGTTAAATAATGAACAAATGAATGGAAAAAGAAAGTGTAAGGCCTTTAGGATACCTGAAAAAGACTGAAGGTGGAGGAAATCTGTGACAAGAGATCATAACTCAAGAAAACTCACGGAAAGAAAGCTCAGTCCCTCAATAGAAGGCTTCGCGTAGGCTGCATATTTCACCCACCCGAAGCAGAAGTTCAATCTACTGGGGTCACCAAAGAGATTACTAATTTTGGATATTAAAAATTATAAGCCCCAGGGGCTTCCCTGTGGCGCAGTGGTTAAGAATCTGCCTGCCAATGCAGGGGATAAGGGTTCGAGCCCTGGTCCGGGAAGATCCCACATGCCGCAGAGCAACTAAGCCCGTGCACCACAACTACTGAGCCTGCGCTCTAGAGCCCACGAGCCACAACTACTGAGCCCATGTGCCACAATTACTGAAGCCCACGTGCCTAGAGCCCGTGCTCCACAACAAGAGAAGCCACTGCAATGAGAAGCCAGCACACCGCAAGAGTAGCCCCCACTCACCGCAACTAGAGGAAGCCCGTGCGCTGCAACGAAGACCCAATGCAGCCAAAAATAAATAAATAAATTTAAATAAATAATTTTAAAAAAAAAATGATAAGCCCTAAATATTTAAATTTCAGCCTTGAATGAAATTAAGCTGAGACCAAAGGGAGCAAGCTTCAACAGCAGGGCCTCAAAGGAAGTAGAAACATTGAGGTCTTGACAAATGACTTGAGACTGCCAAGCCCTGAACTAGCTTTGAACATTTTGCTATGAAAGGTAAAAAACATGCCTGGAGAATATTGACCAGTTAGATATCTGGAAGGATAGTCAGAATAAAATAATTAGGCCAGTTAAATGAAAGATCTGCTAGGTTTCTAACTTACTCTACATGTTGCCATCATAAATGTGAATTCTGACTAGTAAAATTAAATATGAATTATCTGATTATTTCCAAGATACTCTACTGTAAACTCTACATTTTTAACTTCAATTTTATATTTGTATAACCCTTAACCTTAAGATATTTTATGAGATGGTATAGAATTACACTAATACATTAACTACTAGTCTCATGTGGCTATTAAGCACATGAAATGTGTCTGGTCTGAATTGAGATCTGCTGCAGGTGTAAAACACACACCGAAATTCAAAGACTTAATTGAAGAAAAAGTATTTCATGAATTACGTTATGTAATATTTTAGACATACTGAAATAAATAAATATGGTGTTAAAATTAAATTTACCTGTTTAGTTTTATTTTTTAATATGGCTACTTAAAAATTTAATATTACATTTGTGGCTTGCGTTATATTTCTACTTGATAGCATTGGTATAGAGCAATGGTTCTCAACCAAGGGTGATACTGCTCTCAGGGGACATTTGGCAATGTCTGGAGATATCTTGGCTTGTCACAACTGGGACAGTGCTACTGACATCTCATAGGTAGAGACCAGGGATGCTACAATGCACAGGACAGCCCTCACAACAAAGAATAATCGGATCCAAAATGTCAATAGTGTCGAGGTTGAGAAACCCTGGTATAGAGGAGTGGTTAAGGAATGGACTCTGGAGTCAGACTGCCCAGTTTGAATAGCATTTACTAGCTGTGTGACTTCGAGCAAATTGCCTAACCTCTCTTTAATTAATATTCCTTACCTAAAAAATGGGGTAATCACAGTACTTCCCTCACAAAGTTTTGGGGGAATTAGTTGCATTAATATGCATAAGTACTTAGAACAGTGCCCGGCACATAGTATTTGCTCAATAAGTATTAGCTGTTATGATGTGAAATTTTTAATTCACTTATTGTCTCTTTATTTCATGAAACAATTTCAATTTCTCATTAATTTTTCTATATTTAATTCTCCATGACTTTACCAATCTTGCTATAAGTAACCTATCTTTATAAAAAAAATTGAAATTTTCCTTAAGTTAGGAAAAAACATTTGTTTTCCATCTTGCATAGGTTGCACAGGTACAAATGGACATTAGAACAGAACCATTATTAGCATACAACACAGAAGCTCAATCTTCTCTACTATATAATATGCATGCAAAGTTCACCAAGGTTTGCCTTAAGTGGAGGTCCCAATGTTTCAGGCCACTGAGTGAGTATGATACTTACAGATGGAAGCAGAAGTCCCAGTCGGTGTCATTGCTGACAGTCGGGATGCGGATGGGGCTGGCTCGCATCTTCTTCCTACCAAGAATCACATGTGAGGTCAGCTTTGAAAGAAAACGCTTAGAAGTCTGTTCTGTTTTCCCTTTGTTGGATGCTATCAGCATTAAAATGAAACTGCCCAAATACATAACCCATCCTAAATCCACAAATAGACTATACACAACACTCATGTATGGAAACCGTGGAAAGCAGAAATTAAAGACATTTGCCAAATTAAATCCCTGAATCAAATTTCCTTCCTCTAATTTTTACTTCACATTACCTCCAAAATTCCCTACCTTTTTTACCCCTTAAGCCAACACATTAACAGCTCCTGAATCAACAAAACTATGATCTCCTACTCAAGTCAGATACTGTTTTTGCAGGTAACCCGCTCTCACTACTAACAGTGTATCTGTTGGTTAATTCTTCTCCGTGTCCCTTGGGCCGTCTCACTACTTGATAGGTGATCCTAGTTAAGGAGCTAAAACACATGCGTCTGCTTTGGTTGCTGTCATTAGCTGATGGGGGAAATGACTGAAACTCATGGCAAAAAATCTGATCTGTAATTATCTGCTAAATTGAACCCTCATGGCTATCCGTGTCGCTTAATCAAATCGAACTCGAACGCAGTTATTTATCGAACATTGGTACCCACCAAGTCCCTCCTCATTTCACCCTGCAGAATGTCACTCATTCCCACCTGAGCCCTGAGGAGCTAGCTCTCTGACTCAGACTCCACAACATTCACAATCCAAAGACTAGAAGGGAAGATTCACTAATTTGTCTTTCTCATCTCTACTTTCAAAACTGTGGCCAGGGCGAGGGGTTCTGACGTCTCAACCTCCTAAATTCTGTTCCTGTGCGGTTTCACATGGCCCTGGATTGTAACACCACTATCGCCCCCCTCTCTCAAGTGCAAATCGCTTCCTTATTTTCTGCCGTTGTCTCCCCTTAACTTTGTAAACCTTAACACCACATTCCGAGCAACGTCCGAGCTTCCCCTGGCTTCTTTCCTGTGGGCGGTGCCCCGGCCGCAGAGGCTCTAGCCCGAAAAGCGGGCGGGGGCGGCCGAGAGGCAAGCGTGACGCGGCGTACCTGGCCGAAGGCAGAGGAGCCACGGCCCAGAACTAGACTTCCCGGCTCCCTCAGCCTGGCGGCTCGGCTTCCGCCGGCGGCTTCAGTGTACCGGCCTCTTGGGACCTCGTTCAAGGCACCGTTAGGTTGCCTTGCGGAAGAGAGGAGCTCACCTAGCTCTACCTTTCCCGCCCGCCGCCGGAGTTCCGGCTACTGAGACAATGGGGTTACCATGGAAACTGAACGTTGCGGGCGGCGCCCGCGCCTGTAGCCATGGCGACGAGGGGCACTTCCGGCCCAGCGGAATCCCAGGCCATCCCCGCAAACCATAGCTGCCGCCGCACCCTTGCCTTAACGGTCCCCGCGGGCGAGACTCGGGCGACCTTAGCTTCGTCCCCACACTTCCCTCTGCTGCGGCTGAACGGTCCACTACTGTTTTTCTTAAAGGGACCTCTCGGAGATAACGACGCCGGAAGAGAAGGTAAATCCCATCGAAGGATGGAAAGGGGCGTCCGGCTCCACGACCTTACCAGTTTAAAGCTGCGACGACGTACCGGGCTGTATTCGGCGACACTCTTCGCCCCCGCGTGCCCCTCCGCGCGCCCTGCACCCTCACAGTTGCCCAGCTGTTCGGGTCCTCCGGGCCCGCGAGGAAAGGCTCAGATAGAACTATTGACGGTGCTGGCACCGTCTGTGTTGCCACTCCCGGTAAGATTAGAGCTACGCATGGATAAGGGAGCGGAGTGCAGGAAGTGAGTAGCTTAAGATATGGACCACTTGTTCTGCTAATGATTAGCAGTTCAGAGAATATTTTTGAGGGTAGAGGGCGCATTTGGCAAACACCACATAGCCCTAAGTTATGCACCATGTATCCTTATCCTACCCATCTTCAGTGGCCTGAAATACCCACAGTGGTAACAGTAACTCAGATCTGACAGGTACAGGAGCAATTGTGGTTAATAACCAAATGAACATCACTGGCTCAAGCAGCCTCGGGTTTCAGGGTGTTGCCATGAACCCCACAATGAATTAGGGGCTGTGACAAGTCAAGTTGGAACTGGTATGTCCCTCTCCTTTTCAAACAAGAGCAGGCTCAGTAGAAAAAGAAGGAAAATATTTACCAAGAACTTGACAGGTGGTGTTTACATTCAGGTTTGTTCTTTCCAGTTCCGAGGCTGAAGTTTGATTGCTGTTGATCCAAGACTGCCAAGGTAGCCTTTCTGAAGTTAGGTTGGAGGAGCTATTTAAGTGAATTTGCTTTAATATCTCTTAACTAAAACCTGATGGCCTATTAAAGTTTAAATCTGTACCCTCAAACTCCTGAGCCAAAATTTTAGAAAGACCCCACCCCTTCTATTCTCTGTTTTCTAAAAGAACCCTCAGCATGAAAGGATGATGAGAGCATTGAGCTGGGCTTCAGGATGTCAGGGTTCTGCTTTGGACTGTGTGCCCTGGGGCAAGTCACAGCCTAGGGGACTGAATTTTCTTGCCAGTACATTGAGAGTGTTTGTACCACTTGCTTTCTAGAACCCCTTCCAGTTCCAGGATTCTGTGAGGATAAACCACAGATTTTTATGATTCTATGAACATAATATTGAATATTTAATATGAATATTTAACATGTATGGGGATAAAGGGCAGAACTGGTTTCCTGTTCTCTAACACTTATTTCCCTTATCCTTGTTACAAGTTGGTCTTCAATGAAATGGAAAGTTTTAATGTTCTGTCATTCTAGGAAATGGCTATGAAGTTGTTTCTAAGTGTATTAAATATAACTTTTCTTTCCTGAACACTTGCTTTGCTGATCCTTGTGAGGGGGACATGTGGTACCAGAACAGTCACTGAGTTCCCATTCCCTAAAGCCAACACTCTGGCTCCACCTCCATTTAATTAGCTCATCTGTAAAATTAGAAATCAAATGAAAAGAACTTTAAAGACTTTTAGAGTTCTAAACCTCTGTGACACTTTTTCTTTCCTTACATCTTAACCCTGGCTGCAAATGTAAAGTTAGTTATAGAGTTGCAGGAGGGGAAATGTCACATCCTGGGACCTGCAGGTGTCCTTAGGACTGATCACCAAGGGAGGGTTCTTGGCTTCATGCAGGAAAGAATTCAAGAGTAAGCCAGAGTAAAGGGAAAGCAATGGGTATTTATTGAGAGAGATACACATTCAATAGGCAGAATGCAGACTGCTTTAGAAAGTGAGAGCAGCCCCAGGGCATGGGGTCATCCTGGAAAGTGCGAGTGGTTCTGGGGCCTGGGGTCCTAGGTTTTTATGGATTAAGTAATTTCATAGGCTAATGAGTGGGAGGAATATTCTCGCTATTTGGGGGTAGGGTGGGGATTTCCCAGGAATTGGATCACTGCCCACTATTTGGCATTTTATGGTCTACCTCGGAACCGTCATGGCATAACGGAGAGTGATTTTTAGGATTACAATGAAGGTATAATGAGCTAAAGGTCAGTGACTGGACTGTTCTCAAAGCCACCTTGTTTTCAGCTGGTTCCAGCCAGTCTTTATCACGTCCCAACAGCTGCCCCCTTTCTTCATTATCTAGCATTTGTATACTGCTCCTTTCCCTCCTGTCTCAATGGTAAGTGTGCTTGAGTTCTGTTCACTAACTCTGGAATGGAATGCTAGTAATCTGGGGATAGTGCTTCTACAGCGGGTTCACGTACTCTCCTTTGATCCTGATTACCGTAAGCTTTGCTATTGCAGAAATCACACAGAGGAATCATGTGTATAGGGTACTTTTAGACTCTTCCAACCCCCAATCAAATGGGATTAGCTCCAAATGATTCCAAACTCAAGGACTGTGAGACCTAAGAACAAGGAAATGCAAATAAACTTTCTCTTGGGTTGTGTGATTTTTTTTTTTTTTTTTTTTTTTTTTTTGGCCACGTTGGGCCTTCGTTGCTGTGCACGGGCTTTCTCTAGTTGTGGTGAGCAAGGGCTACTCTTCCTTGTGGTGCATGGGCTTCTCATTGCAGTGGCTTCTCTTGTTGTGGAGCATGGGCTCTAGGCGCTCAGGCTTCAGTAGTTGTGGCTCATGGGCTCTAGAGCGCAGGCTTAATAGTTGTGGCGTGTGGGCTTAGTTGCTCTGCGGCATGTGGGATCTTCCCGGACCAGGGCTTGAACCTGTGTCCCCTGCATTGGCAGGACGATTCTTAACCACTGCACCACCAGGGAAGTCCCTGGACTGTGTAATTTCTTAAAACACATTTTCCAGCTTCTCAAGGCAGGGTTAGATACCTTCTTTCTGAGCTCCCACGGTATCCCATCCACTTGTGAGTCTCATAGTGACACTCACAAGTCTCTTGGCACTCCATTTACTTTTGAATTTTTCCAGGCATCTGTCCATCCATCCAAGGAAAAATACCTATTGAATACCTGCTATGTGCCCGACACTGTTCTTTCTAAGCATTAGGGAAAGCAACAGCAAACAAATCGACAAAGATTTCACTCTCCTAGAGCTTCTGTTCTACCAGGGCTGCTAGTAAACAATATGACATCTCTGCAAGTTAGAAAAAGGCAGGTGGCTTAGGGAATAGGCAGCAACTTTGTGTGAATTAGGAAAACGCCTCTTCCTGCAGCCAGTCTCAGGCCCCTGCTAAGGGGTCCAGCTTTGGGAAAGGGATGAACCACCTGACATGGAAGTAACAAATTATATGCAGAAAAATAAAGTCAGGCAAGGGATCTGGAAAGTGATGTGGATGTGGGGAGGGGTATACTGGCTTATACAGTGTAGTTAAGAAGGGCTTCTCTGACAAGGTAGCATTGAGCAGAGACCACAAGGGAATAAGGGAGCAAATGACACAAATGTCGAGAAGAGCATTGTAAGATGTTAATAGCAAGTGCAAAAGCCCTGAGGCAGAAGCAAATTTAATGGATTCAAGAACAGAAAAAGTTTCAATTAAGAATGAAAAGAGAGTCGGGCTTCCCTGGTGGCGCAGTGGTTGAGAGTCCGCCTGCCGATGCAGGGGACACGGGTTTGTGCCCCGGTCTGGGAAGATCCCACGTGCCGCAGAGCGGCTTGGCCCGTGAGCCATGGCCGCTGAGCCTGCGCATCCGGAGCCTGTGCTCCACAACGGGAGAGGCCACAACACTGAGAGGCCCGCGTACCGCAAAAAATAAAATAAAATTAAATTAAAATTAAAAAAAGAATGAAAAGAGAGACAGGAGAGTGGGTCAGCAGAAGAGGAGGTCATGCAGGGCCTTATGGGCAATCCATCCATCTAAATCTCCACCTACCCACCACCCAGTGAATACTGAGTATCTGCTGGGTGGCAGGCCCTGTCTGACCAGATGTGAGGTTCTTGTGAGCAGACTTATATCCACCACTGAGCCTTTAGCGTTCAGCACAGTGCCTGGCTTATTACTAGTGTTCAATAACACTTAAGAAACTGAGTCATCTTCAGGAACTCGCCATTAGTAGAGATTCTGGCCTCTCTGTGTACATTGGGTTCCTATTGCTGCTGTAACAAGTCATCACAAACTTAGCAGCTTAAAACAACAAGAATTTATTATCTCCTCGTCCTGGAGGTCAGAAGTCTGCAATGACCATCACTGGCCTAGAGATCAGGTGTCAGCAAGACCGGTTCTTTCTGGAGGCTCTCGGGGAGAATTGTTTTCTTGCCTTTTCCAGCTTCTAGAAACCACCTGCCTTCCTTGGTTCATAGCTCTTCTTCCATCTTCAGAGCCAGCAGTGTAGCATCTTTAAATCTCTGACTCCTTCTCCTGCTTTAAAAGACCCTTTTGATTACATCAGGCCTTACCAGGGTAACCCAGGGTAATCTCCTTGTTTTAAGGTCAGCTGAATAACAACTTTAATTCTATGTGCAAACTTTATTCTCCTTTTGCCATATAACATAAACTATTTAAATTCCAGGGAATTAGGACATGAGCCTCTTTGGGGGAGTGTTATTCTGCCTACCAGAGTGTTTAACTTGATTTAAATGTATAGGTTTAAAGGATTAATTTACATGTCTGGGTTGCTCAAAACCTGCATATTCATTAAAAATGCCTATCTTCAGGAATGGCCTCAGACTGGCTCCTGGGAAATGAGTTCTGATCCATTAGAATATTCTGAGAACATTTTTCTATGCTTGACATTTTGGGCCAAGTGGTACAAATCCGATTAAATAGTTAATTCTTAAAATGTGATGTATGGGGCTTCCCTGGTGGCGCAGTGGTTGGGAGTCCGCCTGCCGATGCAGGGGACACGGGTTCGGGCCCTGGTCCGGGGAGGTCCCACATGCCGCGGAGCGACTGGGCCCGTGTGCCACAACTACTGAGCCTGCGCTCTAGAGCCTGCAAGCCACAACTACTGAGCCCATGTGCCACAACTACTGAAGCCCACGCGCCTAGAGCCCGTGCTCCGCAACAAGAGAGGCCACTGCAATGAGAAGCCCATGCACAGCAACAGGGAGTAGCCTCCGCTCACTGCAGCTAGAGAAAGCCCACACACAGCAACAAAGACCCAATGCAGCCAAAAATAAAATAAATTTAAAAAAAACAACAAAAAAAAAAAACAAAACAAAAAACAAACAAAAAAAAAAATGTGATGTATGATGAATGCATGTCTTTGCTCTGGGGGGTCTGGAATCTGAATAGCTGAAATTGTTATGCAGGTATTTCAGCCTTCCTGATAGATCCCCAATAAAGTCCTGGATACCCAGGCTTGGGTGGACTAATCTGACTGGCCAGACTTCCGAAGTGTTGTCACACATCACTGCTGGGACAATTAGCTATTCCATGTAACTCCACTGGAAGAGGGCACCTGGAAATGTGTACCTTGTTTCTCCTGGATTTTGTCCCATATACCTTCAGGCTTTGCTAATTTTAAGGAAGGAGGATGAGAGGATGTTCTGGGCTAATGGTAACGTTCTATACCTTGATAGGAGGGTTTGTTGCCCAGGCATATTTACTTGTCCAAACTTATCAGATGGTACACTTAATATTTATGCATTTCACTGTTATGTAAATTTTACCTAGAAAGAATTTCAAACAAATACTAAAACCTAGTTAATGATATGTATACTGAAATTTTCAGGGTAGCCTGTGTGGATGTTCTGTACTTATTTTAAAATGTCTCAAAAAGAAACAGACTAATGGATGGAAATTGGGAGAGATAAGTGGATAGACATGCATACAAGGCAAGTCTAGTAAAATGTTAATGCTTGACTCTAGGTGATGAGCACATGAGTGTTCAGTGTAAACTCTTTTCAAGTTTTGTTTTAAATGTTCCTAAAATTTGAAAAATTCAAAACTGGAACAACAAACT